GGTGCAAGTAGGGAATGGGGTTTGCTCCTTACTAACTTACCAACACTGATGATGTTACATAGATGGGTCATGAGACGTCTGCCAGAAAACAACCAAGCTCAGAGATCACCAAGGACTCCTCAATTTCAACCCGGAGCTACACATCGAAACCATATTACAAGCCAACTGTGGCTTGTGATGGGCATCCCAGGCAAGAGAAGCAAATCGGAGGCAAACTCCCGAATGCAAAACGGGAGGAATTCCTCTGCCTTTGGCTTCCTTTACAGTCATTGTAAAGGAACAAGCACTGTTATTAACAACTGCTGCTTGCAATTACTGCAAGTTCAAATCTCGCCAGGCTCAAGGTTGACTCAGCCTTCCATCCTTTCGAAGTAGGTAAAATTAGGACCTGATTTGTGGGGGCAATAAGCTGACTTTGTATAAAAAAATAAAAGAACATCGTTTAGGGGGCCCCGAAAGCCCTACTAAGCAGGTATATACAAAAGTATGAAGGCTATTGCTTAACGCATTGTTAACATCAGCATTTAACATCCAGCTGCCGGCAATTACTGCGAGTTCAATTCTCACCAGGCTCAAGGTCGACTCAGCCTTCCATCCTTTCTAAGGTGGGTAAAATGAGGACCCGGTTTGTGGGGGCAATAAGCTGACTTTGTATAAAATATACAAAAGTATGAAAGCTATTGCTTAACGCACTGTAAGCCGCCCTGAGTCTCCTGTGAAGGGCGGCATATAAATTAAAGCAAAAAAAAAAAAAAATTGGCAGGTGAAATAAAAACACGCGTCTCCTTGCTAAACCAGCCGGCAGCTTCCCTCTTCCTCCCTCTGAATATTGCATCCAATTTTGGTCACCACATCACAAAAAAAAAAGATGTTGAGTCTCTGAAAAAAAAATGCAAAGATGAGCAACTAAGATGATCAAAGGCCTGGAGATTAAAACATATGAAAAACGGCTGCAGGATTTGGGTTTGGCTAGTCCAGAGAAAAGAAGGACGGGGGGGGGACATGAGAGCAGGATTCCAGTATTTGAGGGGCTGCCACAAAGAGGAGGGGGGGTCAAATTATTCTCCAAAGCACCAGAAGGCACGTCAAGAAATAATGGATGGAAACTAATCAAGGAGAGAAGCAACCTGGAACTAAGGAGAAACTTCCTAACATTGAGGACAATCAACCAGTGGAACAGCTGGCCACTAGAAGTTGCAGGTGCTTCATCACTGGAAGCTTTTAAGAAGAGACTGGACAGCCACTTGTGTCCAATTGCACAGGTAGTCCTTGATTTACGCCCATAATCGATTCGAGCCCAACATTTCTGTTGCCAACTGACATATTTGTTCCTTGGGTTTTGCCCCATTTTTACGACCTTCCTTGCCACCGTTGTTAAGCAAATCACACTGCATTTGTTAAATTAATCAGACTGTTAAGTGAATCTGGCTTCCCCATTGACTTTCTTTGCTCATCAGCAGTGGTGGGTTCCTCCCGGTTTGGTCCGGTTCGGCCGAGCCGGTAGTGGTGACGATATGATGTCACCGAACCGGTTCTCCCCCCTCCCACCCATGTTATTTTTACCTTTTATTTGGTCCCACCCCCAATCTATTGCTGCCTCCTGAGTCCCAGCTGATGACTAGAGGGAAAAAAACTGTTTAAACTCTTGCCGCGGGGCTTCAAAGGGCCGCCCTACAGCTGATCAGTGTTAAAAGCAAACAAATGAGTCAGGCCGTAAGTGCGAGGACTGGTCATAAGTGCGAGGACCTTCCAGAAATGACTCTGACCAGCTAGCCACGCCCACCTAGTCACATGACCTCCAAGCCACACCCACAAAATAAGCCACACCCACAGAACCGGAAGTAAAAAAAGTTAGAACCCACCCCTGCTCATCAGGTCACAAAAAGAAAGTCCCATGACCCCGGGGACATTGCAACCGTCATAAATATGAGTCAGTGGCCAAGCATCCCACGACCAAGGGGATACAGCAAAGGTAAAAACTGGACATAAGTTCCTTTTTTTCGACACCACGGTCGCTCAGAATGTTCACTAAATGAACTGTTGTAAGTCGAGGAGCATCTGCATAGGGTCTCCTGCTTGAGCAAGGAGGGGTTGGACTAGAAGACCTCTGAGGTTCCTTCCAGCTCTATTCTGAATAAAATGGAGGTGCCCCAACCCTGGAAGCTTTCAAGAAGAGACTCCAAAAGAACCGTTGTAAATTGAGGACCTTCTGTACAAGGCAGAGGTGGGTTTCAGCAGGTTCTGACCAGTTCTGGAGAACCGGTAGCGGAAATTTTGAGTAGTTCTGGAGAACCGGTAGTCAAAATTCTGACTGGCCCCGCCCCCATCTATTCTCTGCCTCCCAAGTCCCAGCTGATATTTATATTTATATTTTTTTTTATATTTATATTGAATTTATATACTGCCCTACTCCCAAAGGACTCAGGGCAGTGAACACCATAGAATAAAACACATAAATACAAAATTTAAAATAAAATAAAACGAATTAAATAATTTGGCTGAACAAATTTAAAACCCCAATAATTTAAAATTTGGTTTATCAGGAGGAAATGGGGATTTTGCAGTAACCTTCCCCTGGAGTGGGGAGGGAATGGAGATTTTATAGTATCCTTCCTCTGGAATGGGGTAGGAATGGAGATTTTACAGTATCCTGCCCCTGCCACGCCCACCAAGCCACGCCCACAGAACCGGTAGTAAAAAAAAAATTGAAACCCACCACTGATACAAGGGTCTCCTGCTTGAGCAAGTGTGGGGGTTGGACTAGAAGACCTCCGAGGTCCTATGCAGCTCTATTCTGAATAAAATCGGGGGTGCCCCAACAGCCCCGGAGGCTTTCCAGAAAAGACTTGGAACTTTGTAAGTCGAGGACCGTCTGTACAAGGGTCTCCTGCTTGAGCAACAGGGGCGGGGGCGGGGGTTGGACTAGAAGACCTCTGAGGTCCCTTCCGGCTCTATTCTGAATAAAGTTGGGGGTGCCCCATCCCTGAAGGCTTTCAAGAAGAAACTCGGAGTGTTGTAAGTCAAGGACCGTCTGAATAGGGTCTCCTGCTTGATTAAGAGGGGGGTAGACTAGAGGATCTCTGGGGTCCCTTCCAGCTCTATTCTGAATAAAATCGGAGGTGCCCCAACAACCCCGGAGGCTTTCCAGAAAAGACTCGGAATGTTGTAAATCGAGGACCGTCTGTACAAGGGTCTCCTGCTTGAGCAACGGGGGGGTGGAGGGTGGGGGTTGGACTAGAAGACCTCTGAGGTCCCTTCCAGGTCCCTATTCTGAATAAAGTCGGGGGTGCCCCAACTTTGGAGGCTTTGAAGAAGAGGCTCCGGAAAGAGCCTGGTGGCGCAGTGGACTAAGTGCTGTGCGCCTTGCGCACAGTCACTCACGCCCTTGTTACCTCCCGGCTGGACTACTGTAATGCTCTCTACATGGGGTTCCCCTTGAAGAGCACTCGGAGGCTCCAACTGGTCCAGAATGTGGCCGCGCGGGTAATTATGGGTGCAACCCGTTGCGCCCATGTAACACCTTTACTGCGCGAGCTGCACTGGCTCCCAGTGGTCTTCTGGGTGCGATTCAAGGTGTTGGTTACCACCTTTAAAGCGCTCCATGGCTCAGGACCTGGGTACCTACGAGACCGCCTTCTGCCACCGATAGCCTCCCACCGACCAGTCCGCTTCCACAGAGAGGGACTCCTCAGGGTACCGTCGGCCAAATTATGTCAGCTGGCGACACCCAGGGGGAGGGCCTTCTCTGTGGGGGCACCCGCCCTTTGGAGTGAACTGCCCCCGGACATACGCAAGATCTCTGACTTCCGAATTTTCCGCTGTGCTCTTAAGACCCTGCTCTTCCGACAGGCAGGACTAGCTTCATAACTGAGTTTTAAATTCGGAATTCTTAAATTTTTGGGGTTTTTTAGCTAATCGGCCTTAAATGTAATACTTTTTAATAGTTTTTTTAAATTTAAATTGTGATATTTGTATTGTGTTTTTTACCTGGCCGTACACCTCCCCGAGTCCTTCGGGAGAGGGGCGGTCTAGAAATAAAATTATCCTTATCCTTATCCTAAAGTAGCACTTGAGTTGCCAGCTGCCTGCAATTACCGCGAGTTCGAATCTCCCCAGGCTCAAGGTTGACTCAGCCTTCCATCCTTTCTAAGGTAGGTAAAATGAGGACCCGGATTGTGGGGGCAATAAGCTGACTTTGTATAAAAAAGAACACTGCTGGGGGGGGGGGTGAAAGCCCTACTAGTATAGGAGTATATACAAAAGTATGAAGGCTATTGCTTAATGCATTGTAAGAGTCTCTGGAGAAAGGCGGCACATAAATTGAACCAATCAATCAATCAATCAATCAATCAATCAATAATAAATAAAAAATAAATAATAAATAAATAATAAATAATAAATAATAAATAAATAAATAAATAAACAAATACATACATACATACATACATACTAAATAAATAAATACATACATACATACATAATAAATACATACATACATACATACATACATACATAAATAAATAAATAAATAAACAAATACATACATACATACATACATACTAAATAAATAAATACATACATACATACATAATAAATAAATAAATAAATACATACATACATACATACATACATAATAAATAAATAAATAAATAAAATAAAATAAAATAAATAAATAAATAAATAAATAAATAAACTGTTGTAAGTCGAGGACCGTCTGTACAAGGGTCTCCTGCTTGAGCAACGTGGGGGGGGGGAGAGGGGGTTGGACTTGATGACCTCCCAAGCTCCCATCCCATCTCTATCCCGCCTGTCGGAAAATTTGCTGGGCTGGAGCAAAACTTCGCCCGCGGAACTCCCGGCCACTCCGCGGATCCGTTTTTGCCAGCCGCGCCCACGATGCCCCAGCGCAGCTCCCGGGACCGGCCGAGTCGGGTGGGGGGGGGAAGGGAGGGGGCGGCGGAGGAGGAGCTGGAGAAGCGGCGGGCGGAGCAAAGGAAGCCCGGAGCGTCGGTGGAAAAGCCGAGCGGCGATCTTGGTTCTCCTGGGCAGCGGCTGGCAGCTTCCATGGCCGGGCGGGGGCTCCTCGGGGGCTCCGGTTCTTTGCCGCCGCTCCTCCTGGGGCTGCTGGTGGTGCTTTGGCCCCGCGGAGGGAGCGCCGATCCCGGCTCCGGAGCGGCCCCGTTGCGGTTCAACGTCAGCCTGGACAGCCCAGCCGAGAGCCGGTGGGCCCCGGTCGCCCAGCACTTCGAGCCCGCGTTCATGCGCTCCGTCGTCCGGCGAGTCATCGAGTGAGCAGCGCAGCTGGAGGAGGAGGGCGCTTCTCCCGGGAGGAGAGAGACGGGCGAGCCTGGAAGGATGGATGGATGGCTGGGAACGAGCCTCAAAAGCCTCAAGAGGGAGGGAAAGAAAAGGGAGAAAAAGTGGCTTTGAAAAGGGAAAGTGGGAGAAAGTTTGGATCGGGACTTTCCCTTTAGGTCCTCGAGGAATTGACAGCACAGCCGCGCATCTCTCTCTCTCTCTCTCTCTTCCCTCCCTCTCTCTCTTCCCTCCCTCTCCTCTCTTCTCCCCTCCCCTCCTTTCTCCTTCTCTCTCTCTCTTCCTCCCTCCTCTCCCTCCCTCCCTCTCTCTCTTCTCTCTCTCCTTCCCCCTCTCTTTTTTCTTCCTCCCTCTCTTTCTTTTTCCTCCTCCTCCCTCTCCCTCTCTCTTCCTCCCCCTCTTCCTCCCTCCCTCTCTTCCTCTCTCTCTCGTCCTTCCTCCCTCCCTTTTTTCTTCCTCCCTCCCTTTCTTTTTTCTCCTCCCTCCCTCTCCCTATCTCTCTTCCTCCCCCTCCCCATTCTCTCTTCCTCCCTATCTCTCTTCCTCCCTCCCTCCCTCTCTTCCTCCCTCCCTCTCTTCTTACCTACCTCCCTCTTTTCCTCCCTCCCTCTCTCTTCCTCCCTCCCTCTCTCTCTTCTTCCCTCCCTCTCTCTCTCTTCCTCCCCTCCCCCTCTTCCTCCGTCCCTCTCTCTCTTCCTCCCTCTCTCTTTCTCTTCCTCCTCTCTCTCTTCCTCCCTCCCTCTCTCTTCCTCCCTCCCTCTCTCTCTCTTCCTCCCTCCCTCTCTTTCTCTCTCTCCCTCCCTCTCTCTTCCTCCCTCCCTCTCTTTCTCTCTCTCACTCCCTCCCTCTCTCTTCCTCCCTCCTCCCTCTCTCTTACTCCCTCCCCCTCTCCCTCTCTCTCTCTCTTCTTCCCTCCCTCTCTTTCTCTCTCTCTCTCTTTCTCCCTTCACCCCCCTCTCTCTCCGCTTCTACTTCAGATGTTTGTATCCTGGTTTGCTTGCTGGCTGCTTTGCTTGCTGGTTTGCTAAGGGAGGAGGCACTCTTCCTTACCTTCAGAAGGAGGAGAGAAGCAACTTGGAATGAAGGGGGAAACTTCCTAACAGTTGAGGACCATTGTAGGTTTCTTGCCTAAGCAGGGGGTTGGACTAGAAGATCTCCGAGGTCCCTTCCAACTCTGTGATTCTAATTCTAATCAATGGGACAGTTTGCCTTCGGGAGTTGTGGGTGCTCTGAAGCTGGAAGCTTTTCAAAAGAGACTGGACGGCCATGTGACTGAAATAGTATAGGGCCTCATGCTCCAGCAGGGGGTTGGACTAGATGACCTCCAAGGCTCCTTGCAATTCTGTTAAATTCTATGTTAGATTCTTCCCAACTGAGCAAAATTGCAAACTAGGAACTTCCTTCCAAACTCCCTCTGGGACAAAGTACATGTTTCTCCTGGCTGGGTGAACTTTAGAGACCTTCTCTAATGGGGGATTGTGAGGAGGAGGAGGAGGAGGTGGAGAAAGAGATTAGGGTAAAATTACATTTCCTGGCAGAAACATTGTAAGGGATTGAATGGGGCGAATATCGGGTTGTTTTTGTGCCTCGGTTTTCTGATTTCGCCAGCCATTTCAGGTAATCCTCGATTTATGGCCACATTCGGGAGCAGAATTTCCGATGCTAAGCGAGCTGATTGTTAAGTCAGGGAAGCCCGATTTTACCGCCTTTACTGGCCACGGTCGTTATAAGCGAATCGTGGTGGTTCTTAAGAGAATTACTCTGTTGTAAAAGAGAATCTGGCTTCTTTCTTGACAGAAGCTGGCTGGGAAGATCGCAAATGATGGTCAAATAAGCCAGGACAGTGCAGCTGTCATAAATACCATACCTGCCATTTGTCAAATGTCTGACTTTTGATCACGGGGAATGTTGCCACGATCGTATGTGTAAAAAACGGTGATTAGTTCCGTTTTTTCAGTGTCGTAACTTTGCACAGTCGCTAAACAAACGATTATAAGTCAAGGGATAACGGTACCTTGCAGTAAAATTGCAAAAAGACCTTCCAGTTTCTTCCTGCTTAAGTCCAAAGCCTTTATCGTCATTGTACATCATGTACACAACGAAATTGGTTAGAAGAGCAACAGCTAAAACTGCTGTGACTTTCAGAGCGGAAGAAGCTTCTGGGATGAGAAGCGAAACTCAAATACTCTGGCCACCTTATGAGAAGGAAGGGATCCCTGGAGCAGAGCCTAATGCTGGGAAGGATTGAGGGCAAAAGAAGAAGAGGACGACAGAGAACGAGGTGGCTGGATGGAGTCACCGAAGCAGTCGGCGTGAGCTTAAATGGACTCCGGAGGACGGTAGAGGACAGGAAGGCCTGGAGGAACGTTGTCCATGGGGTCGCGATGGGTCAGAAACGACTTCGCAACTAACAACAAGAAGAAGAAGAATAGAATTCAGAATATCAGAGCTCAGAATGTCTGTGGAAATTCTCAGTCATCCAGGTCCTTGTTGTCCCAAAAGTGCTTTTTCAAGAGGCAACTGGACTTTCTGGTTTTTCTTGGAAGATGTTTCACTTCCCATCCAAGAAGCTTCCTCAGTTCTTCAGAACTCTTCAGAGCTGAAGAAACTTCCTGGATGAGAAGCGAAATGTCTTCCAAGAAAAACCAGAAAGTCCAGTTGCCTCTTGAAAAAGCACCTTTGGGACAAGGGACCTCAGAGGTCTTCTAGTCCAACCCCCTGCTCAAAGCAGTATACCATTCCAGATGAATGGATAGCCAGTCTCTTCTTAAAAACTTCCAGTGTTGGAGCAGCCACAACTTCTGGAGGCCAGCCGTTCCACTGGATACGAAAGGTACGTAGAATTAAACAGGTTAATGATGCTATGAATGACCCAATGGCTCTCTTTTCTTCCAGTTCTGTGATCCCCAAATGGGTCCATGGCGTTATTCGACCTATCGCAGAAGAAATAGAAACCTACATCCCCCAGCCTTATGAAGGAGAGATTCGGGGACTTTCCGAAATCTTCGGGATTAACGTCGGTGACGGGGTCCTCCTGAATCTGGCCTACGAATTCACCGCGTGAGTGTTGCGATGCGTTTTGTGAGTCTCAGGAACGGAGGTGGGCGGGGAAATCCATCATAGCAAGGACCTGTTGCAAAGATCAGGAAAGGGGAGAAGGATATTGGGCGCTATCTAACAACATGAAATTCAATGGTGGAAAAAAGGAAGGTTTTACAATTTAGGCAAGAAAAACAAAATGCACAGGTACAGTATATGTGGTACCTCGCTCAATAGTAGTAACTGTGAGGGGGATCTTGGAGTCCCAGTGGACAACCATTTAAATATGAGCCAGCCGTGTGCAGCAGCTGCCAAAAAAGCCAACACAGTTGTAGGCTGCATAAACAGAGGGATAGAATCAAGATCATGTGAATTGTTAATACCACTTTATAAGGCCTTGGTAAGGCCAGAATTGGAATACTGCATCCAGTTTTGGTCGCCACGATGTAAAAAAGATGTTGAGACTCTAGAAAGAGTGCAGAGAAGAGCAACGAAGATGATTAGGGGACTGGAAGCTAAAACATATGAAGAACGGTTGCAGGAACTGTGTATGTCTAGTTCGATGAAAATGAGGACTAGGGGAGACATGATAGCAGTCTTCCAATATCTCAAAGAAGAGGGAGTCAAACTATTCTTCAAAGCACCTGAGGGTAGAACAAGAAGCAATGGGTGGAAACTAATCAAGGAGAGAAGCAACCTAGAACTAAGGAGAAATTTCCTGACAGTTAGACCAATTAATCAGTGGAACAACTTGCCTCCAGAAGTTGTGAATGCTCCAACACTGGAAATTTTTAAGAAGATGTTGGATAACCATTTGCCTGAAATGGTGTAGGGTTTCCTGCCTGGGCAAGGGGTTGGACTAGAAGACCTCCAAGGTCCCTTCCAACTCTGTTATTCTATTTCTATTCTATTTCTATTTCTAACTGTATTACTAAATTATCAACTGCCATGATTCACTTAACCTCTGCGGCAAGGAAGGTCATAAAAGGGGGCAAAACTCACTTAACAAATATCTTACGTAACCACAGAAATTTTGGGCTCAATCGTGGTCATAAGCAAGGACTACCTACCTGTAGTCTTGTTAAACTCTGGGGAGTTTTTTTTTTTAAAACCCATTGTCAAGTTTCAAGGTTGTTTCAATGACACCCACATTGTAAATTAGAGGGTTATGGGAAAGGAAAAGACCAGCACGTAACTGTACGAATAGCATTTTAATTCCTCTTATCTGCCATTGAAATTCAATCCTAGGTTTTGCATTGCTTTAATTAGCTCCCCCTCATGCTGTTTTTGTTGTAAAAGTATTGTGGGGATGAGTAGGCCCACTGGGAAAATCAATTTAAAATTTAAAAAGCCATACCTAGATCTATATACCAAAGGAATGACCCATTGGGATCCCCCATATTAAAACAACTTACCTTATGTACAGCCGGGTGGGCTTCAAAAATTTTAGCAAGGGGTTATCTGCCTGGTTGCTGGGTGGGCGTGGCCATGGTGGGAGTGGCTAGTTGGCCTCCTGCACCATGGGGGTGGTGGGGGTGTCTTCCCCGGGCTCCGGAGGCTTTTCTTGAGCCTCCGGGAGGGCGAAAATAGCCTCCCCAGGCTCCGGAGGCCCTCTGGAGGACGGAAACAGGCCAAACCTCCGGTAGGCCCGTTTTTCACCCCCCTGAGCCTCCATGTGCGCCCTGCATTTACCTGCATCCAAAACGGGTCGCGTGGGGACTCCTGTGAGGGGCGGGGCAGAGTGGGTGGAGCTAACCAAGAGTGGGATTTGGGGGTTCTCCGAACTGCACAGAATCTTAGCTAGAGGTTCTCCAGAACCCCCGCAAACCCCCAGCAGCTCATCCCTGTGTGCGGCCAGAATCTGAAAATAACATTTAACCCAGCACAGGACTTAAGCAAAATGGTTCGGTTGAGATCTGCGTATGCAAGACTGATTGGGGTAGATTGTAGGGGTGACACCGAAATATTATTTTATCATATTTTGTCTATATCTTAAATGATTGTATTTTATTCCATTTTCATCTCAGATTGTATTTGATTCCAATTTCATTTTTAAAATCATGTTTTATTCCAATTACGTTTTAAATTGCTTTTATCAAATTTTACTAATCATTTGTTTCTTGGAACTTTGCCTTTTGATATGACCCAAGGGCTATTCAATAAACAAAGACAAATTTAAAAAGCCACCCTGGGAAAATGAATTTAGGAGTTTAGCCTTTTCTAACAGAACTGCTGTTTTGTTTTGTTTTTTCTCTCACAGTTTCTGCACCAGTATAGTTGCCCAAGACAAACAAGGAAATATATATCATGGTCGGAATATGGACTATTACTTTGGGGATTATTTAAGCAAGATTACTATCGATGTGGACTTTATCAAGGATGGGCAGGTACAAAAAGAGCCTGGCAGGGATTAAAAATTAAAAATGTTATCGGCAGCAGTGTAGGAAACAGTTCATTTTGAGGTACAGATAGTCCTCGATGTACGGCCACCATTTCTGTTGCTAAGCAAGGCGGTTGTTAAGAGGGGGTTGCACCCAATTTTACAACGTTCTTGCTACGGTGGTAAGAGAAATCACTCCAGTTGTTAAATGAATCACGAGGTTGTTAAGCGAATCCGGCTTCTCCCATAGATTGTGATGGTCGCAAGTGGAGATCATGTGACCCTGGGACAATGCAACTGTCATAAATACATGCCTGTTACCAGGGATGGGTTTCAATAATTTTAACCGGGTTTTATGCCCGGTTGCTGGGTGTTCGTGGCCATGGTGGGCGTGGCCTAGTTGGCCTCCTGCACCACGGTGTGTGTGTGGGGGTCATTTTTGCCCTCCCCAGGCTCTGGAGGCTTTTCTTAAGCCTCCGGGAGAACGAAAACGGCCTCCCCAGGCTCTAGAGGCCAGAAACAGGCCCATTTCCGGCCTTCACGAACTTCCGGTAGGCCCATTTTTCACCCTCCCCGAGCCTCCGCGCGTGCCCTGCACTTACCTGCATCCAAAACAGGCCACATGGAGTCTCCTGGGAGGGGCAGGGAGGGGTGGAGGGGCCAGCCAGGTGTGGGATTTGGGGGTTCTCCAAACTGCACAGAATCTTAGCTAAAGGTTCTCTCGAACCCCTGCGAACCCCCAGCAGCCCACCCCTGCCTGTTGCCAAGCGGCCAAATTTTGATCACATGACTGTGCTGCTGTGATGCTGTGTGCGAGAACCAGTTGAAAGTCATTTTTTTTCAGTCCCATTGATTTCAAGTGGACACTAAGCGAATGGTTATAACTTGGGGATTACCTGTACATGCATTTAGTAGCCGACTATGTATCGCCAGTAAACCAATTGTATTGCAAGCATTTGCTTTTCAGAATCGCTCTACCCAACTTTTATCAGCATAACCATCCATAAATTTTGGTGATAAAAAATAAATACTCAATTGTTCGAATTGTTTTTAAAGAAATGAATGTGTTGCTTTTAAAAGGAAAAGGAGAGGGGAAAAATACGTAGAAATTAGAAAATATAGATACCATGTGGAAAAGATTGTGGAGTAATAGAAAATTGGAAGAAAATACAAATTACTTCACTGGGACAAACTTCTTGCTTTTATACTGTTATATCTCTTTTATTTTATGTAAGATATCGAAAGTGGTTTTTTTTTTAAAAAAAATATGGTTAAATAATAAATAAATAGCAGTGTTCCGATATTTGAGGGGCTGCCACCAAGAAGAGGGAGTCAAGCTCTTCTCCAAAGCACCTGAGGGCAGGACAAGAATCCATGGGTGGAAACTAATCAAGGAGAGAAGCAACCTAGAACTAAAGAGAAATTTCCTGACAGTTAGAACAATTAATCAGTGGAACTACTTGCCTCCAGAAGTTGTGAATGCTCCAACACTGGAAGTTTTTAAGATGGTGTTGGATCACCATTTGTCTGAAGTGGTATAGTAATATAAGCCCTGCTCCCAAAATAAGCTCGTCGGCCAGACGGACACATTTTAGTACCCTATTTCTCTGAAAATAAGACCTAACTGGAAAATGAGCCCTAATGAGTCCCATGGAGCAAAAATTAATATAAGACCCAATCTCACATTTTTATGTTATGTGGTAGAATCTCCAGGGAGGAAGTGAGAACAATTAACCAGTGGAACAACTTGCCTCCAGAAGTTGTGAATGCTCCAACACTGGAAGTTTTAAAGAAGATGTTGGATAACCATTTGTCTGAAATGGTGTAGAGTTTCCTGCTTAAGCAGGGGGTTGGACTAGGAAACCTCCAAAGTCCCTTCCAATTCTGTTATTCTGTAAATACACTAAATATTTGACTTTAGGTTAGAACAAGTACAAAGATCGTTTTGCAAAAGCGTTGGACTGTTGTGAAATTATATTTGCTCTAAGTTACCCCAAATCATTTAACACTGGCACTTTCACAATTCTTATATTTAACTTATTATATAATCACATGGCAGAAACCGAGAGACCTCTATAAGGATTGCAACGAGCCACTGTAATCATGTGATTTTCTATTCTTATACTATGCCACAAATAAGATGGGTCTTAAAGTTTCCAACTTGCAGTTTTCTTTTGTGTCAACTCTGCAGCTGCTATCTTTTGCAGTGAATTTTTTTTTTTTTTAAATTTGATTTATATGCCGCCCTTCTCCGGAGACTCAGGGCGGCTTACAATGTGTTAAGCAATAGCCTTCATACTTTGAAATTTGAACGAGCTAATTTAACAGAGGGATAGCCTCTGCCCCTCCCCACCCCACCCCTTCCAGGAGTCCCCACACGCTCCATTTTGGCTCTCAGGTAAGCGCAGGGAGGCCTCCTAGGCCCAAAATGGGGCACGGGGGGTGCAGTGCAGCCCCCCGGGCCCGTTTTTGCTCGGGGGGGTTGCAGGAGGCTGAGTGCTGCCTGTCACACCCCCTGGCCACACCCACCACGCCCACGCCCACCCAGCTGGTCATTAGGGCAGAGAACCAGTTGTTAAATTATTTGAATCCCACCACCGGAACCAAGATCACACAACATGCTATTGCTGCTTCATAAAGCCTTAGTAAAACCACACTTAAGAATACTGCATCCCGTTTTAGTCGTCATATTATAAAAAAGATGTAGAAACTCTGGAAAGAGTGCAGAAAAGAACAACAACGATGGGCTGAAGGCTAAAACATAGGAAGAATGGTGGCAGGAACTGGGTATGTCTAGTCTAGTGAAAAGAAGGACTAGGGGTTTACATGATAGCAATCTCCCAATATTTGAGTGGCTGTCACAAAGAAGAGGGAGTCAAGCTATTCTCCAAAGCTCCAAAATAGGCAAGACAAGAAAGAATGGATGGAAACTAATCAAGGAGAGAAGCAACCTAGAACGAAGGAGAAATTTCCTGACAGTGAGAGCAATGAATCAGTGGAACAACTTGCCTCTAGAAGTTGTGGTTGCTCCAACACTGGAAGTTTTTAAGAAGAGATTGGACAGCCATTTGCCTGAAATGGTGTAGGGTTTCCTGCCTAAACAGGGGGTTGGATTAGAACAGTGATGGCTAACCTTTTTGCCGTCGCGTGCCAAAAGCGTGGGGAGCGGGGGGGGTCATGTGCGTGTGTGCCCATACCCATAATTCAATGCACCCTGCCCCCCGCGCATGCACGAGCGACCCCCCCGCGCTCCCGCTTTTGGCACATGATGGCACGGTAGGCCCTGTGGGCTCGTTTTTCGCCCTCCCCAGGCTCCAAGAAACCCTCTGGAGGCCAAAAACAGCCCGTTTGCTGACTTCTGGTAGGACCAGAAGTCCTGTTTTTTCACCCTCCCCGGGCTCCAGAGGCTTTCTAGGAGCCTGGGGAGGGCGAAAACGGGTCTTCTCCACCCCACACCAGAGGCCCTCTGGAAGCCAGAAATGGCCCATTTGCCAATTTCCGGTGGACCCGGAAGGCCTGAAAATCAGATGCGCGCGCCGGAGCTGAGCTAGGGCAACACTCGTGTGCCCACTGATATGGCTCCGTGTGCCACCTGTGGCACGCGTGCCATAGGTTCGCCATGACAGGATTAGAAGACCTCCAAGGTCCCTTCCAACTCTGTTATTCTGCTCATTTCCCTTCTCAGTTTGTGATGCAGGCTTTTAAAATAATGAACTTTGGTTCCATTTCTAGATAATGTGGCAAGCCGCCCTCAGTGGGAAACAAGAGAGGAAAAAAGACCGAGGAATATAAATAATAAAAATAATAAAGGGAGCCCAACTTTGCACTGAATTGTTTTGAGGAAGAACTGGGCAATTTGAGAAATTTTTTAAATTTAAAATTCCTTAATTTTGTTCCTCTTTCTTTTTTTGCTGTAGTAAACAAGTTGTAATGACCTTCTCCCTGAATCCCTAAAGCATTTTAACGCTTATTCTACGTTTAAGTCAAGACTTGGGTTTTTTTCATGTCATGAAATGACTCACACAAACCTCCCTGGCCTGTTTAGTGTTTTGGAGAGAGATTAAGATTCAAAACAATGAGGAATAAGTACAGCTTCTTCTGTCCTTTAATTATTTCCAGGTAAAATTCAGAGGTACTACATTCTTCGGCTACGTCGGTTTATGGACAGGGCAAAGTCCTCACAAATTTTCCATCTCTGGGAATGAACGAGGTAAGGCAAATTTTATTATGACCCAGATAAGCAGATAATTTGCTGACTCTCTTGCCTGGTTCTGAAAACTAAGACTTGGGGGTACAGAATAGAAAATAGAATAACAGAGGTGGGAGGGACATTAGAGGTCATCTAGTCCAACCCCCCACACAAGCAGGAGAACCTATACCAGGGATGGCTAACCTTTTTGCCATCGCGTGCCAGGGGCCAGGAGGGGGTTGTGTCCGCGCATGCCCACACCCATTATTCTATGTGTCCTGCACCCGCGCATGTTCGTGCGACCCCCCCCCTCGCTCCCCACACTCCTGGCACGCGATGGCACGGTAGGCCCGTTTTTTGCTGTCCCCAGCCTCCAGAGCAGGAGTCTTCAAACTTGACACCTTTAAGACTTGTGGACTTCAACTCCCAGAATTCCTGAGCTAACATGACTGGAGGAGGAATTCTGGGAGTTGAAGTCCATAAGTCTTAAAGCTGTCAAGTTTGAAGAGCCCTGCTCCAGAGCCCTTCTAGGAGTCTGGGGAGGGTGAAAACGGCCTGCCCCCACCGCCCCCCAGAGGCCCTCCAGAGGCTGAAAACGGCCTGTTTGCTAACTTCCAGTGGGACCGGAAGGCCCGTTTTTTGCTTTCCAGAGCCTTTCTAGGAGTCTGGGGAGGGCGAAAATGGCCTTCCCCAGCCCCCGGGAGGCCCTCTGGAGGGCGAAAATGGCCCATTGGCCAACTTCTGGTCCCATCCCATACAAAAGGCTGTTTTTGCCCTCCCCAGACTCCTAGAAAGGCTCTAGAGGCTGCGGACAGCAAAAAACGGGCCTTCCAGTCCTACCAGAAGTTGGCAAACGGTCTGTTTCCGGCCTCCGGAGGGCCTCCGGAGGGGTGGGGAAGGCCATTTTCACCCTCCCCAGACTCCTAGAAAGACTCTGGAGGCTGGGGAGAGAGAGAAATGGGACCTCCCCCCCAAGGTCCTCCAGAGGCAGGTGAAGATGTTTCACTTCTCATCCAAGAAGCTTCTTCAACTCTGACTGGATATTGGGGAATGGAGGATTGCAGACAGCTGGTCATTTGTATCCTTTTAGAGGGTCGTTGAAGCACTTGGAGGTTTATCTGTGTCCTCAGGGTCACCTGAGTAGTGAAAATGGTTCCTGCAGTCTGTTTATAATTTATATAAATTATGTTTATATTCTGTTTTACAGATGTTGGCTACTGGTGGGAGAATGCCATGGCAGCCTTTTTGGCTCGATTCAGTCCAGCCAGCTGGCTTATCAGAACTGTGCGTAAATTTTAAATAAATAAATAAAAAATGCAGGTAGTCCTTGACTTATGACCACAACAGAGCCCAAAATTTCAATGGCGAAGTGAGACATTTGTGAAGTGAATTTTGCCTCATTGTACGACCTTTTTTTCTTCAGTGGTTAAAGGAATCGCCACGCTTGTTAAATCAACGGTACGGTTGTGAAGGGAACCGGGCTTCCGCACTGACGTTGCTTGTCAGAAGGTCACCAAAAGGGGATCACGTGACCCTGGGACACTGCAAACCGTCATAAATATGAGTCAGTTGCCAAGCGGCTGAATTTTGATCACATGATCAGGGGGAGGCTGCAGTGATTGTAAATATGAAAAACGGTCATAACTCACTTTTTTCAGTGCCCTGTTTTAACTCTGAACGGTCATTAAATGAAGTGTTGTAAGTCGAGGGCTACCTGTATGTCTGCTGTGACTTAAGCCATATTTTTTGGGAAGTATATACAGTATAGTTATAGAAAAATATCATCATCATCATCATCAGTTTAGACATTGTCTACCCATTGCAGGTTGAAGGCCCCTTCCGCCTGTTTCCAACCAATACGGTCCTGAGCTTTTTCTTCGCTTCTTCCTTCTTTCCTTCTTTGGTTCTTTCTTTCTTTCTTTCTTTTCTTTCTTTCTTTCTTTCCTTCCTTCTTTCCTTCTTTGGTTCTTTCTTTCTTTCTTTTCTTTCTTTCTTTCTTTCCTTCCTTCTTTCCTTCCTTCCTCCCTCCCTTTCTTTCTTTCTTTCCTTCCTTCCTCTTTCCTTCCTTCCTTCTTTCTTTCTTTGTTTCTTTGTTTCTTTCTCTTCCTTCCTTCCTTCCGTCTTTCTTTCTCTTCCTTTCTTCCTCTTTCCTTCCTTCCTTCTTTCTTTCATTCTTTGTTTGTTTCTCTCTCTCTCTTTCCTTCTTTTTCCTTCTTTCCTCCTTCTTTCTTTCTTTCTTTTCTTTTTTCCTTCCTTCTTTCTTTCTTTTCTTTCTTTCTTTCTTTTTTTTCTTCCTTCATTCCTTCCTTCTTTCTTTCTCTCTTTCTTCTTTCTTTCTTTCTTTCTTTCTTTCTTTCTTTCTTTCCTTCCTTCCTCCCTCGCTTTCGTCCTTCCTTCCTTCCTCTTTCCTTCCTTCCTTCCTTCCTCTTTCCTTCCTTCCTTCTTTCTTTCTTTTTTTCTTTCTCTATTTCTTTCTCTTCCTTCCTTCCTTCCGTCTTTCTTTCTCTTCCTTCCTTCCTCTTTCCTTCCTTCCTTCTTTCTTTCATTCTTTGTTTGTTTCTCTCTCTTTCTTTCTTTCCTTCCTTCCTTCCTTCCTTCCTTCTTTCCTTCTCTCTCTCTCTCTTTCTTTTCTCTTCTTTTTAAAGAAAAATAGTATACTTCATCTAATTGCTGTTTTTTCCCATTATAATTATTGTTCTATATTAAAATATATTATCATACCTTAATACCATGTACTGTAGAGGAGAGATTCATATTAAATTTAAGATTCCTGCTGAGTCAGCGTGGGCTTAAAAATAACATTTATCTATAAGTGAAACCCGAAAAGTTATTCGGTTTTAAGTTTTGTGAAATGTTGCGCTTTAGAGGAAGTGTTCCAAGTGAATGGCTTAAGTTGATTTCTGTCGAAAATGTCAAATCTACATTTTATAAAAAATGCTCTTGTCTTCCAAAAGTCACTGTACAGCTTGCTATACAAGTAGCCCTCGGCTTATGACCACAATTCAGCCCAACATTTCTGTTGTTAAGTGAGACATTTGTTAAGTGAGCTTTGCCCCCATTTTACGACCTTTCTTGCCGCGGTTCTTAAGTGAATCACTGCAGTTCTTAAGTTAGGAACACCGTTGTTAAGTGAATCTGGCTTCCCCATTGACTTTGCTTGTCAGAAGGTCGCAAAAGGGAATCACATGACCCTGGGACACTGCCACCGTCATAAATACAAACCAGTTGCGAAGCATCTGAATTTTGATCACGTGACCCAGGGATGGGTTTTAAAAATTTTTACTACCGGTTCTGTGGGCGTGGCTTATTCTGTGGGCGTGGTTTGATGGTCATGTGACAATTCTTTACGATTTAGCAGAAGTACTGGTCTACAAGGCTTTTAACTGCTTGCAGAGCCGTACCAGTCTACCCATTTGTTTTTGGAGCGCACTGGTCTACCACCACACTGCCTTTTACCGCTGATCAGCAGTAAGGCGGCCATTTGAAGCGCCGCGGCAAGAGTTTAAACAGTTTTTTCCTTCTAGCCCAGTGTTTCTCAACCTTGGAAGCTTGAAGATGGGTGGACTTCAACTCCTAGAATCCCCCAGCCAGCAGCGCTGGCTGGGGGATTCTGGGAGTTGAAGTCCACCCATCTTCAAGCTACCAAGGTTGAGAAACACTGTTCTAGCCGATCAGCTGGGACTCAGGAGGCAGCAAATAGATTGGGGGCGGGGCCAGGCAGAGGTGGTATTTACCGGTTCTCCGAACTACTCAAAATTTCCACTACCGGTTCGCAAGAACCGGGGAGAACCGGTAGCAACCCACCACTGACGTGACCGTGATGCTGCTGTAACGGCCGTAAGTGTGAAAAACGGTCATAAGTCCCTTTTTTGGGTGCCCTTGTAACGCTGAACGGTCACTAAAAGAACTGTTGTACGTCGACTCTCTGTAAATATAAAAATGTTGAATGGAAAACCTTCACATCCTCCTACATATTTTGTGCTATTTTCACAATGAGGTTCTACAGCAAGGGTATCAAACTCGATTTCATTGAGGGCCGCCTCGGGGTTGTGTTTGCCCTCGCGGGGGGGGGGGAGATGACAGGTGGGCGTGACTAGCTCGACATCACTCATATCAGAGGCACCTGTGGTGGCCTGAACCCTCTGCCAGCAAAAACCGAGCTCTGTTTTCGCTGGCAGAGAGTTGCAGGAGGCCGTCGCGGCTGAAAACGGAGCTCGGGAGCGCCGCGCAAGGCCCTCCCGAGCTCCATTTTTGCTGGCAGATGCACCGCGGGCCGGTCTTTTGCTGTTTTCAGGGGAGACCCCACGGGCCAGATCTAAGCACCCCCGGGCCAGATCCACCACCCCCGGGCCTTTGAGTTTGACACCCCTGCTCTACAGTCTGGCTAACAGAATTTTATCCAAACTTAATTTATGAAATCTTTTTTTTTTTTTGTAGGTTCTAAGTGAAGCAGAAGATTTTCAAACGGCTTTCTATATGCTCGCCAAGATACCCATTATAGCAGATGTTTATTATATCATTGGAGGCAAAACAGCCAGACAAGGGGCAGTAATCACAAGAAAAAGAACAGGCCCGGAAGATGTTTGGCCTTTGGATCCTTTAAATGGGGAGTAAGTTGCATAGAATCCGAATTTTATAAGGCAAATGTTAAGCAATTTACCAATCGGTAAAGATGACGGGAGCATAAATTGTTGTTGTAAGCTGCCTAAGTTATCCCATGGTAAGATAAGCGGCAAAGAAACAAATATGTAAGTGCTTCTTTAAGGGAGTATGGGTATAAGGGACGTGGTGGCTCAGTGGGTAAGATGCTGAGTTTGTCAATTGAAAGGTCGGCAGTTCAGCGGTTCGAATCCCTAGTGCCGCATAACGGGGTGAGCTCCCGCTACTTGTCCCAGCTTCTGCCAACCTAGCAGTTCAAAAGCAGGTAAAAAATGCAAGTAGAAAAATAGGGACCACCTTTGGTGGGAAGGTAACAGTGCTCTGTACGCCTTCGGCATTTAGTCATGCTGGCCACATGATCACGGAGACGTCTTTAGACAGCGCTGGCTCTTCGGCTTTGAAACAGAGATGAGCACTGCCCCCTAGAGTCGGGAACGATTAGCACATATGTGCAAGGGGAACCTTTACCTTTACCTTATGATGGCTCAGTGGTTAAAGATGCTGAGCTTGTCAGCTGGAAAATTGACAGTCAGTGTTCGAAACCCAAGCACCACATGATGGGGTGAGCTTCCGTTACTTGCCTCAGCTCCTGCCCATCTAGCAGTCCGAAAGCATGCAAATGCAAGTAGATAAATAGGTTCACCACTTCAGTATAAAGGTACTAATGTTCACTGCGCCTTGGCATATAGTCGTTCTGGCCTCATGACCAATTTGGACAATTATGGCTCGGCTAAGAAACAGAAATGACCCCGCCCCTAGAGTCAGACATGAAACCTTTAAGCTTACATTTAAATGCTCCTTTATGGCTTTTAACTGAGGTATGTAGCATAATAACACAGACTGGTCTTGTGTGTTACTTAATGATACAAATCAAAAATTGAATAGCGAGAAAGTGGGAGATGGTGAGTTCTAGTCTCTCCTTAGGCGTTAAAGCTCCCTGGGTGACTTTGGGCCAATCACCAGGAGATGGTGAGTTCTAGTTTCACTCTAGATGTGAAAGCCGGTTGGGTGACTTTGGGCCAATCACCAGGAGACAGTGAGTTCCAGTCCTGCCTTAGCCACGAAATGCCTGTCACTCTCTCTCTCAGCCCAACCCACCTCACAGGCTGTTATTCTGGGGAAAGAGGAGTATTAGATATGATCTCCAACTTGATTTATTTGTAAAAATAATAAAGGTGGAACACAAACAAATAAATGTTCTAACATGGCAGCTTTTAAGTATATTTTCTGTTTGGAAGGTGGTACCGAGTGGAGACTAACTATGATCATTGGAAAAACCCACCGCCTTATGATGATCGAAGGTATGTTTTTCTGGAAAATGGGAATGGGGATTTTGCAGTAACCTTCCCCTGGAGTGGAGTGGGAATGGAGATTTTGCAATATCCTTCCCCCAGGAATGGGGATTTTGCAGTATCCTTCCCCTGCTATGCCCACCAAGCCACGCCATGCCCACCAAACCACACCCACACAACCGGTAGTAAAAAATTTTGAAACCCACCACTGGGATGTGTTCTGCCCCAGCTACGGACCCCAAAGAATACAGCACACACAAAGTTTGTACAAAACTTAATTTACTAAAATAACTCAGTCTTTTTCAAAACAAAGGCTGTTAGTAAACTTTCTTAACAGCCTACAAGAAACCGAAGATGAAGTAATCACAATCTTACTAAGGTTGGCAGAAAGCCCAGAAGCAATTTGCAGAGAATCCAGACGCGAAGTAGAGTGAACTAAAGTTGTTCACCCTACAAATTGCTTCAGTCGGCGTTCCTCCTTAAATAGGCTAAGAGAGTGGCCAATTAGCCCCAAGCCTTACTTTCGAGGAGACCTCCTCCTGAGGAGCCACTCCTGCCTTTTGGCAGCTCTGCGCGTCCGTGCATCAAGAAGAGGCTCCTCCTCTTCGTCCTCTTCACTTAAAGGAGCTTCTGGAAGTTCTGAAGGCCCTGGCTGAATCCCTGCCTCTGGCACCACAACTTCTCCAGCCTCCTCATTGTCCGATTCGAGTGCCACCTGCACAGGCTGCTGGCGCAACACCACACCAGCTTCCTCGCTGTCAGAGTCAGCTACAATCCGCACAGGCCGCTGACGGGCCACAACAGGATGCTGTAACGGTCATAAGTGTGAAAAACAGTCATATAATGCCGTTGTAACTTGCAATGGTCACTAAATGAACTGTTGTTAGTCAAGGACTACCTGTACATAGGATGCAACTTTTTAAAATCCAGGTTTAGCAATAGCAATAGCACTTAGATTTATATACCGCTTTACAGTGCTTTACATCCCTCTCTAAGTGGTTTTACTGAGTCAGCCTATTGTCCCAAACAATGTGGGTCCTCATTTTACCCACCTCGGAAGGATGGAAGGCTGAGTCAACCTTGAACCTGGTGAGATTCGAACTGCCAAACTGTAGACAGCTAGCAATCAGCAGAAGTAGCCTGCAGTACTGCCCTCTAACCACTGCGCCATCGTGGCTTATGGTTTGCACATTCCTGATTTGTGAAATCGGTTACGTTGATCGATTATCTTTTCTTTCTTTTTTTTATTCTGCAGAACTCCAGCTATTAAAGCACTAAATGCGACAGGACAGGAACATATCAATCTTAATTCCCTCTTTAAGGCAAGTTTAAATCATGCTCCTTTTTTTGTTGGCAAGGGGGAAGCTGGATTCGCGTAACGATAGTGTGATTCTCCTAACAACTTCTGTGTTTCACTTATTTATTTTTATTTATTTATTAGTTTGATTTATATGCCGCCCTTCTCCGGAGACTCAGGGCGGCTTACAATGCTTTTAAGCAATAGCCTTCATACTTTTGTATATACCTGCTTAGTAGGGCTTTTTGCCCCCCCCACAAGCGGTGTTCTATTTTATACAAAGTCAGCTTATTGCCCCCAGAAACCGGGTCCTCATTTTACTTACCTCGGAAGGATGGAAGGCTGAGTCAACCTTGAGCCTGGTCAGAATTGAACTCGCAGTAATTGCAGGCAGCTGGCAGCTAAATACTACTTTAACAGTAGTTTAGTCCACTGCACCACCAGACTCCTTAACAACACTGGATCACATGATCCCGGGACATTGCAGTCATCATAAATATGGATCAATTGCCAAGCATCCGAATGTCAATCACATGAGCATGAGGATGCTGCAACAGTCATAAGAATGAAAAACAATCATAAGTCACTTTTTTTCAGTGCTGTTGTACTTTCAATGATCTCTAAACGAACTGTTGTAAGTCGAGGACTCCCTGTATACTACGCAGCTGCACTTGTTAAGCTTAGCTTAATATATTTGGGCTCTGCTGGTATTCACTATTCAAGTCTAAATGCATGATCACTTTGTATTTTATTTTTTTCCAGGTATTATCGACAAAACCTGTATTAAACAAGTAAGTTTTTTTTTAAGTAAAATGCATTCGTTTTGGATTTCGCACAGGCTTTTAGGGCAGTGTCCCCCAACCTTTTGGGCACCAGGAACCAGTTCCGTGGAGAGAGATTTTTTTCATGGGCTGGAGGTTTTGCATGCTGCTGTTCTGACCCAGCTCCCCAAATACGACAAACCCTCTGTATTTAAATCAACGATTCCTTTATTAGGAGCGCCAGCAGCCCCAGCAAAAAGTTTCTCTCTCAACGCAGGTTAACAAGTCTGTCCGGCAGGAAGATGAATAGTTGTTTGCCACACCTATTCATCTCTGCCCCCTGCCTTTTATCCCCAGAGCTAGGGTGGGGCTTTGCTAGCAGTGGTGGCTCTTCCGTCCCAAGGACCAGCCCATAGATTTCCACTGCTCTCCTCTCCTCTTGCCTCTGTGCATCGGGCACTGGACCCAGCTGTTCCTCCTCTTCCTCATCAGCCAATTCCTGACCTCCGGGCTGTTGACTCTCCATCTGAGGGCTGACAGACGGCTCAGGCTCCGACTCTGTCTCTCTCTCTCTCTCTGACAGCTCCATTCCCTCTTTCTCCTCAGAGCTCTCAGGTTGCCTTGATGCTGTCCCTGATTCCCACTCTTCCTCCTCCTCTGATTCGGCTGCTGGAGGGGCCGGTGGCTGACAGACCACAACAGCTGCCTGCATCTGAAGAAAGTGAAGAAACAGAGAGGCTAGCTGCTCTGAGATTGGTAGCAGCAAGGACTAAAGAGAGAAAGGGAAGGTGTGATGAAGATTGGAAGGTTTATGGACTAGTGAAATGCCCTTAGACAGTGGCAGCTGAGTGGAAGGAGGGAAAGTGCGTTTAATACATGGGGAGACTTAGCCATAGTGTCAGTTGGGAAACTGTGAACATCCCTGACCAAGCCAAGTCCAAAAGCACTAGAGCAGAGGTGTCAAACTTGCAGCCTGCAGGCCGGATACGTCACACGTTGGCCATGTCCACCTCCGGTTTAGCGAAGGGGAAAAAACTTGTGAGACGTCACATGACGACGTGAGTTTGACATCCCTGCACTACAGAATTCCTGGAAGCCTGGTACTCGGGCAGCTCAACTATCAACAGTGTCAGAGTTTGTTGCAGAAATTAAATCCAGAAAGCACAGACAGGGAAACTGATTCAGCAGGATTCATTAACCTCTTTATATACATATGACACATGAAGATAAATGTACAATACCGATATAGATTCTTCTTCTACGTAGTAGCAGTTACAAGCAAAACACAAGGCAGGACAGAACGGTTAGTTTCATTTCAGAAGAGCAGACAAGCCCAGGCTTGATTCATTTCAGAGCTGAGCACAGAGCTTAATACAAAGAATCCAAAAAATGGAATCCGGCTGAGTTCACACTACTTCTCCTTCTCCTTCTTCTCCTCCTCCCCCTCCTCCTTCCTCCTTCCTCCTCCTCCTTCTCCTCTTCCTCCTTCCTCCTCTTCCTCCTCCTTCTTCTCCTCCTCCTCTCCTCTTCCTCCTCCTCCTCCTCCTTCCTCCTCCTCTCCTCTTCCTCTTCCTCCTCCTCCTCCCCCCCTCCTCC